AAAAAATATTATCACCGAATTGAAAAAACTCAATAAAAATAGGAACTAAATATTTAAATCATTATTTTATTATAATTGAATAGTATAACTCCATTTTAAAATAGGTATCTATTGAGGGAAAAAGTACTAAAATGGTCCAATTATTTTCAAATTTACAAAAATGATGTAAATTTTTAAAAAATTTTAAAAAAGTAAGTTGTGCTAACTTAGTATAATTTTAATGTATTGTGATGTGAATTGAAGTCATATCAGATTGGTACATTTTAGTATATGGTAATTTTTGTTTTAATTCTCAACTTGAAACGACTTCAATGTATTTTAATATAAAGTGAACTTTTGTTAACTTTGTAAATAATTTTTTTAAAAAAGAAAATTAATTGTTTCACAATAATAAGTCAAAATCATATCAAGTTGACACAACTTCTTAACAATCAAATCACACAAAGTTAACATGATTTCTTCATTTTTAAAATTGCACCATTTTTCAGTAATTTTAAAGACAAAATTACACTTGCTTTTGTAAAGAGTTATTGTTCATTTTGTTGTAATAATCCAACTTGTGTATAACTGTCAAAATACAGCTTGTTAGTTAGCTTTACGTTGCTTTTGTAATGTGCCTTAATATAAGGCAATATTCATTTGAATGAGAATAACTCACTTCACCATTACGTGCTCTTAGCCTATCTCTAACTCTCTCATTCTACTCATTGCACTATCAGACTTATATGCATTAACAATGTTATCAAGAGCAAGATTACGATAACATGGTGAAGCGTCGAAAATCAAAGAACTCGTTTACTGAAGAAGAGTTTCCGTGGAGAAGTGATGGCAGGAATAATCCAAAGCAACTTGCCGGTGTTCGATGGTAAAAACTATGATGATTAATGTGTGAAGATGGATGTCATTCTTGGTTTCCAAGAAGTAGATGAAGTTGTCAAGAAAGGTTTTAAAGAACCTTCAAAGGGGGATTCAGAAGAAGTGCAGAAAACGTATAAAGAAAACAAGAAATTGGATTATAAAGCGCGAATGTTGCTGCACCAGTGCGTCTCTGCGACAATCTTCCAGAAAGTGTCGAAGGCAATCACGGCTAAGAAGGTATGGGACATGGAAATTCTGAAAAAGTGAAGAAAGTCAGATTAAAATCCTTAAAGAGGCAGTATGAGCTCCTGAGTATGGGAGAGCAAGAAACGATTGAGGAGTACGTTGGAAGAATCCAAGTCGTGGTAAATGCGACGAGGGCTTGTGACAAGATAGTAAAACACGAGAAGATTGTCAAGAAGATTTTAAGAACACTGACACCCCAGTATGATCATATCGTTGTGGCTATAGAAAAATGTAAAGACCTAGAGACGATGAGAGTGGAAGAATTGCAGAACTCCTTTGAAGCACATGAGCAGCGTTTAATCGAGAAAAAGATTGTAGAAAAAAGTGGATGCTGAGCACGAATCAAGCGTTGCAAGTCAGAAATAATCAAAGCTACAAGGGTCGTGAAGTTGGAAGAGGTAGAGGCCGATAACGAGGAGGACGATCGGGAGGCAGAAATACAAATGCTTATGATCAATTTGTTGAAGAAAATGGCAGCGAGCATAAAGGAGGAAACAAGAGAGGTGGAAGACAGTCGAGAGGAAGAGGAAGAAAGAACTTTGATAAAAAGAACATTCAGTGCTATACTTGCAACAAATATGGGCAATACTCGTCAGAATGCTGGCACAATGAAGCTGCGAAGAAGATCAAGAATGATGAGGCAGCAAATCTTGCTCAAGACACATGCAATTTAGAGTCTGAACATGTTCTTTTAATGAGCACAACCGAATGACTGTTGTCTTTTAACCGGACGGGTGCCGATGAAGAAAACGAACGGTTGTTGTTTTTTAACCGAACAGGTATTGATGAAGAAAACAAACGACTGTTGTCTAAATACTGAATGGGTGTTGACAAACAAATGGGTGTTAACAATCAAATGGATGTTGATAAAGGAACCGGACGACTATTGTCTTCAGACCGAATGAGAGTCGATGAGGAAACTGGACGGTTGTTGTCGTTCAACCGAACGGGAGTTAATAAAGAAACAAAATGGTCGTTGCTATCAAGTAAAAATGGGAATTATGCACTGGACAGGTGTGAAAAAGCTTCAGACCACGTGTTGCTTTCTAGTGAGATGAGCCATATAGAAGATGAGTCATCTTGGTATTTGGACATGGGGTGTTCCAATCATATGACGGGCAAGAGCAATTGGCTACTCGACTTGGATACAAGTATAAAGAGCATTGTTCGTTTCGTAGACAATAGTGTTATCACAGCTGAAGGCTCAAGCAAGGTGTTGATTACACGTAAGGATGGAAAATCCGCATACATGCATAATGTGTTGTATGTTCCAACGATGAAGAACAATCTGTTGACTCTTGGACAACTCCTGGAGAAAGGATATACGATGACAATGCAGCAAAGACACATCAAGGTGTTTGACGACAGGCAGCGGCTGGTGCTCAAAGCTCCTCTAGCCTGGAATTGAACCTTTAAGGTGAATTTGAATGTCACTACTGTTTAATGTCTAGTTGGGACTGATACTGGAGAAGAAGGATGGTTATGGCACTATCGCTATGGACATCTGAATTTCAGAAGCTTGGGCCAACTGAGAGATAAAGATTTGGTGAAAGGTATTCCTACAATCTCTGCACCAAGCAAGGTCTATGAGGGATGTGCCATTGGAAAGCAAACCAAAAAAGAATTCAAGAAGGTCGCAGCCAAAAGAGCCAAGCAACCTCTGGAAGTGGTCTACTCTTATGTGTGTGGACCCTTTGATGTGCAGTCACTTGGAGGTGACAAATATTTCCTAATCTTTGTTGATGAATACTCTAGAAAGATTTGAGTTTATTTGCTTAAAGAAAAGAAGGAAGTTTGTTCACACTTTCTTAAATTTTGTGCCATGGTGGAGAGACAATCGACATTGCAGATTAAAATCTTTAGAATCGATGGTGGNGTCTATGAGGGATGTGCCATTGGAAAGCAAACCAAAAAAGAATTCAAGAAGGTCGCAGCCAAAAGAGCCAAGCAACCTCTGGAAGTGGTCTACTCTTATGTGTGTGGACCCTTTGATGTGCAATCACTTGGAGGTGACAAATATTTCCTAATCTTTGTTGATGAATACTCTAGAAAGATTTGAGTTTATTTGCTTAAAGAAAAGAAGGAAGTTTATTCACACTTTCTTAAATTTTGTGCCATGGTGGAGAGAAAATCGGCATTGCAGATTAAAATCTTTAGAACCGATGGTGGTGGAGAGTTCATTTCTGGAGAGATGAACAAGTTTTGTGAAGACAAGGGAATTGTGGATGAGGTAATAGCTCCATACACACCCCAGCACAATGGCCTCGTCGAGAGAAGAAAAAGAACCTTGCTAGACATGACGAGATGCATGATTAAAGGGAAGAGTTTGCCACAAGGGAAGAGGCTGTATCCATAGTAGCATATTCTTTTAAACAGAAGTCCAACAAGAGCACTGCAGAATTGTACTCCAGAAGAAGCTTGGTCAAAACTTAAACCATCCGCAAGTCACTTGAGAATCTTTGGGTCAGTGTGTTATAAGCATGTGCTAGACGAGAAAAGAAAGAAGTTGGATGATAAGAGTGAAATCTTAATTCTTGTTGGCTATCATCCAACAGGTGCGTATAGGTTGTATAATCCTAAGAAGAATCAAATTGTTGTTAGCAGAGACGTGTTAGTTGATGAAGCTGCTACATTCAATTGGGTGGAAGCAGAGGCTGGCTTGAAACTGAATGTTGTTGTGACTAACTGGTGGAATGAGAAGAAATATGATGATGTTGAATAGATTGATACAAATTCAGAGGTTAATAGCAGAAGACTTCAAAGAGATAAGTTCCCCTCTACAAGGCTTGCAGATCAGGAAATGTTTACTGATAATGAAGTTGCAAACTCTAGTGATCTTGTTCACCTTGCTTTCCTCGCTGATGCTGAAATGCTTTCTTGGGAACAAGGTGTTAAAATAAAAGAATGCAAGAAGGCCATGTTGGAGGAGCTGAAAGCTATAGAGAAGAATAGAACTTAAAGATGGTAGAGCTGCCGCAGCATAAACAAGCCATTGAAGTTAAATGGGTGTTTAAAATGAAGTACAAACTAGATGGCAGCATAGCAAAGTTGAAAGCTAGACTGGTAGCAAAGGGCTTCCTACAAAAACTTGGGATTGACTTTATTGATGTTTTTGGACCAGTTGCTAGACTAGAAACCATAAGACTGGTTGTTGTAGTGGCAAATCTGAGAGGCTGGAAAATCTACGAAATGGATGTAAAGTCAGCGTTTTTGAATGGTCCACTAGAGGAGGAAGTGTATGTGAGACAACCACCTGGTTTTGTGAAGAAAGGTGAAGAACATAAAGTATACAGGCTACTCAAGGCCTTGTATGGACTTAGACAGGCACCCTGGGCTTGGAACAACCACATAAATGCGTTGCTTCTAAGAATGGGATTCCAAAAATGTCTAGTAGAATTTGGAGTGTATGTAACTTGAGATTCAGCAGAGGAAATTGCAGGGTTTAAACAACGCATGAAAGAAGGATATGATACGACTGATCTTGGCCACTTGAGCTTCTTTCTCGGGTTGGAGTTCGTGTAGACCACAGATGGAGTTTTGATTCACCAAAGAAGGTATGTCAATGAGGTTTTGAAGAGATTCAATATGCTAGACTGCAACAGCACCTCAATTCCTATTATAGCAAACTTAAAGTTGTTCAATCCGAAAGAAGAGAGAAAGGTGGATGCAACACTATTCAAGCAAGTAGTAGGGTCACTCAGATTTGTGTGTAATAGTAGACCAGACATCAGTTTTGGAGTTGGATTGGTGAGAAGATTTATGAGTGATACAAGGAAAAATCACCTCACCACAACCAAGCATATCCTACGTTACTTGAAGGGAACAACAGAGTTTGGCTTGTTTTCTCCTAAAGGATCTGGTAGTGTGGATGGAGTTTTGGAGGCTTGGAGTGACACAGACTGGTGTGATGATCAGGTAGAGAGAAAAAGCATGTATGGTTATTTGTTCAAGTATATGGGAGCACTACTCTCCTGGTGCTCTAGGAAGCAGAATGTGGTTGCGCTTTCTTCGTGTGAAGTAGAATATGTTGCCACAGCTGAAACAACTTGTCAAAGTGCTTGGTTGGAAGCTATTCTCAGTTAATTGAAGATTGAGTACAAGAAACCAGTACAACTCTTGGTGGACAATAAGTTTGCCATCAATCTTTCAAAGAATCCAGTCTTTCAAAGGGGAAGCTGGAATTGGTGTATTGTTCCACTGAAGAGTAGGTTGCAAATATCTTTACTAATGCTTCAAGACAAAGTAGATTTGTAAAGCTGAGAAATCTAATTGGTGTTAAAATTTTGGAGAGTTTGGATTAAGGGGAAGTGTTGTAATAATCCAACTTATGTATAACTGTCAAAATACAGTTTGTTAGTTAGCTTTACGTTGCTTCTGTAATGTGCCTTAATATGAGGCAATATTCATTTGAATGAGAATAACTCAGTTCTCACCATTACGTGCTCTTAGCTTATCTCTAACTCTCTCATTCTACTCACTACACTATCAAACTTCTCTCCATTAACACATTTATCATCAAGGTAGACCTTTTTCTTCAACAAAACTTAAATTTAACTTATCTTAAAGTCCCACGTTTACAAGTACTCAGATTTGTTCAAATTATGTTGAAAACAAGATTAGTTCAATGAAGTTGATAAAATAGAAATAAAAATATATTTCATCTTATTACATAAAAGTAAATTACAAAAATGACCATTGTGCCTTTTATTTAATGAAAAAAGTAAGGAATTACGGGTGATGTGATGAGAGATAAAAGAGTTTATCAAGGGATGAATTATAAATGTTAAATTGAAACCTATATCTCAATCCAAGAGAGGCTGAATTGGATTTAAACCAGTTTTTCAAAATTCTTTAAAAAAAACTGAAGTTTTTGAATTATGTTTACAAAAGATTTTAACCAACAAAAAAAATGCAGAAACTTAAACAGAAACACACCACTATTTTATACTAGATTGATTCTTAATCTAAATCTACATCCAGTCTTCTTCCAACAATCTGACTTGGAGGAACTTCACTATATTGTAAAGGTCAAGAATATAAATAATCTCTCAATTATATCCTCACATACTCTAATATACAGAAATACAAACAAGAGAGGCTCAACACACTCTTTCACAGCCCTGCCTCTCTAGCTAAGGCAACTACGAAATTTATACAAGAAATACTAAACTTGGGTGCACTACTGTGTGCAGATCTCATAGACGAAAAACACAACAACCCTCTTGACTATTCTTTCTTGAAACCTTCTAGATCTTAAGACCTTCAAAATGTTTAGTTGATTGCTCCAAAAATGTCTCAAGACAACTCTTTGATGTGTTATTTTGTTATTGTTTCACTTTTTTTTTTCAAAAAAATAGAATGTACTTCATTATTGAAACAAGTTAGAACACACATATATATACAATATACAAAAATTGATGCGCTTAATCGGTTAATTCCTTAATCGATTAGGTCCAACTCTCTGTTTTAATCAATTAGGTTATTAAAGCAAACAACACAGTCCTAACTCACTTTAATTGATTGTGGACTTTGTTTAATTGATTAGTACAAAAGCATTTCACAACACTCTTGCTATCTTATGCAACTAAGACTCTATCATATATGAATTATGCATCCAAGACTCTATCCTATATGAGTTTAATTTTAATCTAACAGTTTAAGCACTCAAGAAAGAACATTTTTAGAGTTCATCATGTTAGAAGTGAACTTTAAGCCTAACTCAACCCCAGAAAACCGGCTTGTAGGGTGAGGTTTGCACCTACTTATAAAGGATGAATTGGCCTTATCTCTAGTCGATGTGGGACTTCCAACACACCCCCTTCACTCCGAGGTATAGACATCTCATGCGTGATAGTAGAAATTGGGTGGTCCGATAATGGCCCGATAACGGGTGGAATAGAAGAATATAATGCCCACTTAGAACAGGATAGGCTCTAACCATGGCTCTGATACCATGTTAGAAGTGGACTTTAAGCCTAACTCGACCCCACAAAACCAGCTTGTAGGGTGAGGTTTGTACCTACTTATAAAGTATGAATTGGCCTTATCTCTAGTCGATGTGGGACTTCCAACACATCATCAAAAACAATTTTACCATACTTATTCTAGAAAGAAGTTATAGTCCTTGTTCTTGAAAGAAGTTTCTAGTCCATAGAGTATGTTATATATAAGGCCATTGGCATTGTGATTCTTCATGGTATCAGCTTATCCGTTTGTGAATCTCACTGTTTTCATGACCATAATTTAAAAAATGATGCCAATTTATATCAAATTTATTCTGGTCTTAATTTTTGTTTGTTTGCTATCTCAGGATTACCATGTTTGTGCAAAAGGGGTGAGCTGCATGCAGAGGGAGAGGTTGACACTTCTCCACTTAAAGGTTGGTGTTACTACCAAGTAGGTTAGACCGACCGGACATGCTTAGTCACTACCAAGTAGGTTAGACCGACCGGACATGCTTAGTCGCTATCAAGTAGGTTAGACCGACCGGACATGCTTAGTCGCTACCGAGTAGGTTAGACTGATTGTCCAAGGACAATGGAAGTATTAATCAGACTGATCGGGTACGTAAGGGCGATGGAAGCCGATCATTCCCGGTCGGACGCCAGGGTAATACCCGCGAACTCTCCAACCGTTGGCTGGACGGCTGGAGACAACCTTTGAATGTCAATGAATGCATAATTAATGATGTAACGGTCACTGTCGAGCAGTTAAGATGGGCATTGATCGTCATTAAGAGGTAAATTAATAGATATATTCCTTGAA